TGCAGTGAAGAACCAGCAATCTGAGAAAGGATTTCACTTGTAAACACATCAACCATCATTCTATACAGTTGTCATGAAAATCAGATTCTTGAACAACCTAGCAAGTCTCCTCATCCATATAAGAATAGAACTTGTGCACTGTGGTAGAGCGTAATTCCATTACGAGTAAATTTTGTTTTGACAAAGTCTCACAGTGTTATGCAGTAATGTATACTGATGAGGTTTCGAGCACAATTTATTGCTCATAATCATATCAAGGTAATCACACGACTTCCTAACTTCATTTATATAGTTCCATTGTTTTTCTCTTGATTTGATTGGTAATAGTATTTTCCATATTTCAGGTATGAGTGACGAGTCATTCCTATTGCATGTGTTGGGTGTAGACTCGATGAACAAGGATTCAGTAATCAACCTCTCTCTCCACCTACCTAGATTACTTTTTAGAATTTTAACCCTCTCCCACCCTATTGTGTGGTTGTGTGTTAGCGCATGCATTGCAATTGCTGAGCTTTTTTCTAAATTACTTATCTTCTCGGGGTCAACCATTCTTACCTCAGCTAAATTCTTATGCTCTGACAATCTGACTACCCCTGACCTACTAGTTTGACCTATGTAGTTGACCTCACAGTCATTGCATGGTATTTTGTAAATAATATTATTTTGTCTAATTGGGTCAACTGGGTCCTTTAACCTACAGAGCTTGTCCCTGAGTGAGTTTGTGAGCAATGGGATCACCAATATCCCCTATCGTAGCAGACATATTTATGGACAGCTGGGAAAATAGTGCCCTCAATACATTCAACCCTACTCCGAAAATATGGTGGAGATATGTGGATGACACTTTCACAGTGTTAAAAACAGAACATATCTCTAGCTTCTTGACACATATAAACTCACAAGTTGAGGGAATAAAATTCACATTTGAATCAGAAAATGAACAAGGAGAATTAGCTATGTTAGGTTGCAAGATAAAAAGAATAGAAGAAGGCAAACTACACACTAGTGTTTATAGAAAACCAACGCATTCTAATAGATATTTAGACTTTAATTCGTCTCATCCTTTAACTGTTAAGGCAGGCTTAGTTAAATCTTTAACAAACCGAGCAGTGGCACTAAGTAGCACAAAAAAAGATCTAAATGATGAATTAAAACAGATAGAAGAAGCGTTGGTGTTGAATCCTATAAAATTCATTAGGAAGATCATTAAAGGCCAAAAACAAAATAAAAATAATTGTGAAACTAGTAATAATAACATAAATAAGAAACAATATAAGTCATCCACAGTAATACCATATAAAGAGGGGACATCTGAGACACTACGTAGGATTCTGAATAAAATAGGAATTAGGGTGGGATTTAAACCTACAAACTCACTCAGGGACAAGCTCTGTAGGTTAAAGGACCCAGTTGACCCAATTAGACAAAATAATATTATTTACAAAATACCATGCAATGACTGTGAGGTCAACTACATAGGTCAAACTAGTAGGTCAGGGGTAGTCAGATTGTCAGAGCATAAGAATTTAGCTGAGGTAAGAATGGTTGACCCCGAGAAGATAAGTAATTTAGAAAAAAGCTCAGCAATTGCAATGCATGCGCTAACACACAACCACACAATAGGGTGGGAGAGGGTTAAAATTCTAAAAAGTAATCTAGGTAGGTGGAGAGAGAGGTTGATTACTGAATCCTTGTTCATCGAGTCTACACCCAACACATGCAATAGGAATGACTCGTCACTCATACCTGAAATATGGAAAATACTATTACCAATCAAATCAAGAGAAAAACAATGGAACTATATAAATGAAGTTAGGAAGTCGTGTGATTACCTTGATATGATTATGAGCAATAAATTGTCTGTCTGTCTGTTTTCGACATAGAACTTTGCACAAATGTGCGGAAGTTCAAGTCGCCACATTCCGTGTAGCACGCGAAGCAAGAGAAGAAAGTACAAGAAAAGCATAATAGAAACAGTGAGCAGAGGTGTGAGACAAAGGAGTAATAAAGAAATACAAAACAGTTTCATTGAAGATCATAAGTCACAGGGAGTGGATGCATCTGCGCCATTGAGAACGGTTTTGAGCCATGTCACCAATTGTTTCCAACCATAGATTTTTACCATCCCGAGGACCCCAGCCTGGAAGTCTACACCTTTCTACGTGGCTTAGACTAACTGTTGTGGATTTCATTGACTGATGCCAAGTTTTTGTCTGACCGCCGCTAGCTTTTTTCCAGTCTGACCCTATATCCGCTAACATTGCAATAAATTGTGCTCGAAACGTCATCAGTAAACATTACTGCATAACACTGTGAGTCTTCTCATCCAGTTATCCTAATATTGCCTATAAAAACTCTCTGATATATGCATTATTTTAATATGAGCATCAATGGACAAGAAATGTTGCATAGTTGACATGTTGAGTCCAGATGACAGAATTTTATTGGTGAAATTAAATAATTCAGAATTAAATTAAAAAAAATAAAGAATAGCAGATATCTTCTTCTGTTTAAAGAAAGCATTTTAATTTGCTGTATCTGAATGACTAGTTTCTACGTAGAACTTTGCACCGATATGCAGCAGTTCGAATCGCCATACTCCATGCACATACATCAAGAGGAGAGACCAAAGAAAGATTCAAAACACAGATAATAAACAGAAGTATGAGGCAAAAAAAATAGTAATATGGAAGAACAATTAAGTTTTATTGGATATGATAAATCACAAAGAGTGAATGCATCTGCACCAGCCGTTGACAACGATTCTTTGATATAAGAATAAAACTCGTGCACTGTGGTAGAGTATGACTCCATTATGGGTAAATTTTTGTTTTGATAAAGTCTCACAGTGTTGTACAGTAATGTTTACTGTTGACGTTTTGAGCACAATTTATTGCTCATAATCATATCAAGGTAATCACACGACTTCCTAACTTCATTTATATAGTTCCATTGTTTTTCTCTTGATTTGATTGGTAATAGTATTTTCCATATTTCAGGTATGAGTGATGACTCATTCCTCTATTGCATGTGTTGGGTGTGGACTCGATGAATCAGGATTCAGTAATCAACCTCTCTCTATATCCACCTATCTAGATTACTTTCTAGAATTACACAACCACACAATAGGGTGGGAGAGGGTTAAAATTCTAAAAAGTAATCTAGATAGGTGGAGAGAGGTTGATTACTGAATCCTTGTTCATCGAGTGTCCATATAAACAATTGTCTCCATCCATTGGTTTTTATCATCCCGAGGACCCCAGCCTGGAAGTCTACACCTTTCTACGTGGCTTAGACTAACTGTTGTGGATTTCATTGACTGATGCCAAGTTTTTGTCTGACCGCCGCTAGCTTTTTTCCAGTCTGACCCTATATCCGCTAACATTGCAATAAATTGTGCTCGAAACGTCATCAGTAAACATTACTGCATAACACTGTGAGTCTTCTCATCCAGTTATCCTAATATTGCCTATAAAAACTCTCTGATATATGCATTATTTTAATATGAGCATCAATGGACAAGAAATGTTGCATAGTTGACATGTTGAGTCCAGATGACAGAATTTTATTGGTGAAATTAAATAATTCAGAATTAAATTAAAAAAAATAAAGAATAGCAGATATCTTCTTCTGTTTAAAGAAAGCATTTTAATTTGCTGTATCTGAATGACTAGTTTCTACGTAGAACTTTGCACCGATATGCAGCAGTTCGAATCGCCATACTCCATGCACATACATCAAGAGGAGAGACCAAAGAAAGATTCAAAACACAGATAATAAACAGAAGTATGAGGCAAAAAAAATAGTAATATGGAAGAACAATTAAGTTTTATTGGATATGATAAATCACAAAGAGTGAATGCATCTGCACCAGCCGTTGACAACGATTCTTTGATATAAGAATAAAACTCGTGCACTGTGGTAGAGTATGACTCCATTATGGGTAAATTTTTGTTTTGATAAAGTCTCACAGTGTTGTACAGTAATGTTTACTGTTGACGTTTTGAGCACAATTTATTGCTCATAATCATATCAAGGTAATCACACGACTTCCTAACTTCATTTATATAGTTCCATTGTTTTTCTCTTGATTTGATTGGTAATAGTATTTTCCATATTTCAGGTATGAGTGATGACTCATTCCTCTATTGCATGTGTTGGGTGTGGACTCGATGAATCAGGATTCAGTAATCAACCTCTCTCTATATCCACCTATCTAGATTACTTTCTAGAATTACACAACCACACAATAGGGTGGGAGAGGGTTAAAATTCTAAAAAGTAATCTAGATAGGTGGAGAGAGGTTGATTACTGAATCCTTGTTCATCGAGTGTCCATATAAACAATTGTCTCCATCCATTGGTTTTTATCATCCCGAACCCCAACCAAACTGGCAGTCTACACCTGTCCACATGGCTCGCTGGCTTAAACTACCTGTTGTGGATTTGATTGGCTTATGTTTGCGTATATCTAGTAAAATATATCGCTATTCATAAGTGAGGATATTGTCTGCCGCTATATAACAGTTGAAACTGTCTACTTGAAGAGACACTAATGATCGATCGACAGAAGCCTTTTTTAAACAAATAGAAAATTCTACAAATAGGTTTATAATGCAAGTGAATTTATTTCCTTTTTACCATCTGAAGATCATGCAAGTTAAATAGATAGATAGATATACAAATAAAATATTTGTATAGTTCGAATGAGAAACACAACTCAGAATCGAAAAATGATTCTCGCACATTTTAATAATACAGACAACATTAATAATATATACTAAAGATATATGCATATATATCACAGACAGAATAATAAAATAATTATAGAACTTCTATAAAGTTTATTTATTTATTCTTCAAAATTCCTGAAGTAGTAAAAGAAGGCAAAAAATAAAATAATGAACCAAAAGCACAGAAATACATCTCAAAACATTAATGAAACATCAAAGTATGCTAAAGAAAAATGTAAGAAACAAGTATTTATTAACAAGCACAATATTAAATTGTTTCGATTGATCGACTCAAATCAGCTCGTAGTCGGGTTGATGTCTTTCTTTGCTGTTGATCTTCTTCATAGATTAAATTAATTAAACTGGAAGGTGCTAAACCCATTTCACTTAAACCGGCATCATCATCGGTTAATTCAACTTGTGTTGTTGGTGGTACTTTTAAACGTGCAGCTAATTGTACACTAGGCGGAGTATACAAACGAAATGAACATGGTTCAGAGAAACATTCTGAAATCCATTGGCGTACTGTCAGGAGTTTATCAACAGCGTAAAATGTACCCTGTAAGTGAAAATAAATTCCCGCATTATTTAAAGATTAAAAAATCTATCTAAAGAAAATGTAAAGGAAAGAGTAAAACAATTTAACTGCTCCTGTAGAGTCAGTTACATAGGCTGTACAATTAGGCGAGTTTCTCGTCGAATTTCCGAACATCACCTTGTGAGATTAAGTAAAGGACGAACAAAATCTCTTCGTAGCGCTATTCTATCTCATCTTGTGGATACAGAACACAGGATTGATGTTAACCATGTTTTAGGGTCATTTACCGCATACCAAAAATTCTCAGTCTAATGAAAACAAAACACGTAGATCAGCGAAGAGTCTCTTTTCGGCGAATTCATTTTCTTAGCTATACAATCGCAAATATATATGTGCTATTTTGTATGTATCTGTACATTAAGTTTGTCAAACAAAATTACAATTGGTTATGGTTATTTTAACTAGACAGGTGAAGATTGGTAATTGGAGTTACGTAACACAAAATCAGTCAAGAAAATTTAGGTGTTAATTAAATTAGGGTAGTAACAAAAAATTGAACACCTGGTTAACACTGATCATTCCATTTCAACAAACCCCTCCTTCAAAGTAATCTACAGAGTCAAGAATAATCTATCAAAGGCAATACGGTTTCGTCTTCTTTGTATCGCTGAAGCTCTGGCCATTCACATAGAAAAACTGGAGCTGTGGATACAAAAGAAGATTACTCAACCACTTCTACTGTCATGGTAACTTTTTTGATTTGATTTTCTTAATTTTGATGACTTAATTTTGTTTCTTTGCCTGTGTGGTGAGAGCAGGCCGTGAGAAAATATGAGCAAGGCTGATTCAACAACCAATCACAGCAAAGTTAACGTGGCAAAATATGATTCGCAGATGGAGAACTCTATTTGTCGAGTAATCCCGAAGAAACCAATCAGAAGCCTGCGTTTGTCAGCCTAACTTCTGATAAACAACCAATCAGATAACTGCGCTTGTCTACTTGCATAAGCTATAAAAATGTATGTGAAATATGTATAAATACGTGTTGATTTTCATAATAAAACGATCTGTTGCCTGGCCCTTGTCTTCTGTTGTTACATTTGGTGTCGCTGCCTACCGACAAATGGAAAGCCTATGCCCTGCTGTTTTTGATGGAGACATATGGATCTTCGGGCAGGACTTCAAGGCTTCTGCGCAGTTGAGTGGCGTTCAAGATCTGTCAGCGATGGAGCTGCTACTTGTGACGCTGCTGGGAGGTCGGGTGAAAGCAGCATATGAAAGTGTGAGACGAAATACTGACGAATGTTCGACAGGGTCAGGCAAACAGTTTCCAAAGTGGGAAGGACCACACATGGTCACTTCGAGATGGGATCACGCAGATACAATCGCAATGACGAACAATGAGAGGCGCGTGAACGTCAGCGAGCTCCAGAAATGGATACAGCGAGACAAGCCAACGATGACGCCTGCACCAAGTAGATCAAGCCGACTTCAGTCGCACGTATTTGACGGGGGACGAGTGTGGTGGGAGCAGGCCGTGAGAAAATATGAGCAAGGCTGATTCAACAACCAATCACAGCAAAGTTAACGTGGCAAAATATGATTCGCAGATGGAGAACTCTATTTGTCGAGTAATCCCGAAGAAACCAATCAGATAACTGCGCTTGTCTACTTGCATAAGCTATAAAAATGTATGTGAAATATGTATAAATACGTGTTGATTTTCATAATAAAACGATCTGTTGACTGGCCCTTGTCTTCTGTTGTTACACCTGTTCTTTGATTGCTTTTTGTATTCAATCAGAACTCTTACCTAATTTTGTATTATCTACTTTGTTTCTGTGTGCATCCTGAGTAAAACTCACTCATCAAACTATTCATATTATTACATAACTTCTTCTAACAACTGTTTGTGACAACTCATCACCTTTGTTACTACCCTAGTTTCATTAACACTTAATTTTCTTGATTTGTATTACCAATCTTCACCTGTTTAATTGAAATTACCTTAACCAATTGTAATTTTGTTTGACAAACTTAATGTACAGATACATACAAAATAACACATATATATATTTGCGATTGTATAGCTAAGAAAATGAATTCGCCGAAAAGAGACTCTTCGCTGATCTAAGTGTTTTGTTTTCATTAATGCCTGGATGGGGATTACCCATGAATTGAAAATCTCAATTTCGCCCTAAGAGTTTGACTACTAAATATTGCTGAGGCTGTTGGGATCCAGATTAAAAAGCCTAATTTGTGCGCCCAATAAGAGTTAGTTCAGACATTAACCTTATCTTGGCCATTTAGGTTTGAATGATCCTGAATTTTTGTGGAATTCTCCTAATTTTAGTTGATATTCTATTTACTATATCTTTATTATTATCTAAGCACCTTTAATGAACTGTAATTTCATTGATCTTACTTAACAAATCGATATTATTTAAAAAACACCAATACTGTTATTGATTCGAAATTGAAGTTATCGAAAAGGATATTCTTTGCTCAGTTATTTTGTGCTTTATACAAAGAGAATCGTCAACATCAGACAAGACAATATACATTAGCATGAATAAAAATGAAGTCAAATAATTCTGTTATACCATGGAGGTAAATTAAAATTTTGATTTTAATAGAACGGAGAAGAAACTCGTCAGTCAGATGCTTCTACAGACAATCTGTTATATCAATAATATGCAAGGCTAGTGATACTTCAGTCCAGGTGTTCATACTAAAATTTCAGACAGGATAATGTGATATCATTTCAATCCGTTATTTTGAGTCAGTTGCATGCAACGCGAAATAATTTTATGTTGATACACGGAAAATAATATTAACATTTTTTAATTAGTTAACTTGAACATTAACGTTGCGTAATTTAATGTCCTCTAGCTTTCAGCGTGCCCATGTTAAAAATGTTGCAAAAGTTGCATAGAATTGATCAATTTTATTCTGCTTAAATGATAAAACTTAAAGAAAACAAAGATTTTATCAAAGACAATTCTCTTTTCGACGGTTTTATTTCCACAGCTTTATAACTATATATATATATATATATATTACAATAGGCAATCTCTAGGCATCATCGAACAAAGCATTGAATGGCAGTCATACCTGTCTCTACCTCAACTTCATCGACTTCGAAAAAGATTTCGACAGAGTTGACCGAAAAGTAATTTGGAAAATGCTTATCTTTATCAACCTCATTGAACAGTTATATGACAATACCACAACGGAAAACTCAGCGTTCCAACTGAATACAGGAGAAAGACAAGGATGCCTGCCTATTATCACCCATGATATTCCTAATTGTGGTCGACTGGATTATGCGTCAGACTGTGCGTTGCGAGTGAGAAGACAGGAATAGGCTAAACCGACAAGAAGACACTAGAAGATCTGGATTTCGCTAAGACTAAGACAAAGCACTTATTCTTGAAGTTTGACTGTTAGTCTGAGCCTTAAATCTGAAAGTGATTATTTGAGACCCTAGTTCAATAGTCCAAAATTCAACTAAATAGCGTGAATACTGTTACTCACTTAGCCTCATTTAAAATGGTGCATTATACTCCCTAATTTGCTTTGTCTTTTTGTCATTCTTTCTTTTCAGGGTTTTACAGTTTCTGTTACTGTAACGTTCTAATTTATTTTTCCCCTGTTGTACCAGCGTTAACATGAGGTGAGATCAATCCAACCGTTACACGATAATGTAGAGTACAGGAAAGAAAACTGAAGAGAAATATCACATAGACGTCTTCCAAAAGAATGGATATCCACGGAACTCCACCATAAGATGTCTAACCCCAAGCCAACCTACTAAATCAAAGGCCTCCAAGGAAAGCACAAAGAAAATCGCCCTACCATATATAAAGGACATCTCCAAAATCACTGCAAGACTCTCCAAACTTTTAGGAATTGAAGTCGTACACAAACCAACGAAATCACTTCACTCAGCTCCATATCAACCAAGAGACTCAACAGCCAAAGAAAATAAAACCAACATCATTTACAAAGTAAGTTGCAACGACTGCGAAAAACACTACATTGGCCAAAGTGGACGTCCCCTTCGTTTTCGTATCCATGATCATAAACTAGCTGTCAAAAGACATGACATCCACTCATTCATATCGCCTCACTGCATACAGACAACCCCGGACATCAATTCGACTGGGACAACCAACATTCAAATATCACACAGAGGAAACACTAGGAATGCTAGCCAGAGAATTTTTCAGAGGCCTGGTATTCCAGTGAGTCGTGAGTCCGTAGACACATCGACATAGACAACATTTACCAATCGATAAGAAGGAAATCTCACACACCAAGGGTTAAACTTCTGGTCAAGGAAATAACCGACACCAGTACCAATATAAGTAGCCTAAAGGGTGTGAAAACACAATACAACCAATCACGCTCAATGTCATTCACGAGGAAAGATGACTAATAAAGTTGTGAAGATATCTAAAAACCTCACTTGAAAATGAAATACGCGCTGAAGATGTTGCCTAGTGGGACAATGAAAGCTACCCAAATAAACCATCCAGTCCAGGGAATACAGTTACATCAAAAGGAGTGCATGGTTGATAACTACTATCGATATAAAGTGTACACAATGGGAGAAGCTCTGTTATTCAAAACATAAGTTAATTAGTGAATCAAACACTGTGGTAAATGACATTCATACTAACCTGAAGAATAAGATTATCCGGAAGCCGAACACGGATAATAGTGTAACGAAATAATTTCAAACCTTGTGTTTTTAAACGTTCTCTCATTGCTTTAGTAAGCAGCATACCACTTTCTTCTATAATTTGCTGTTGTTGATCAATGGCTCTTCGAAGATCTTCTTTCGTTGCAAGGAAAAATTCATCCGGAAGATGTTCACGAGAAATACAGGATAAAGCACGACCAGTTGCCTAATAAAATAAGCAGAAATTTAAAACCATTTTGTCAGACGCAAAAAAAACACAAGTTTATAATGCTTATTTGGATTTTATGTTACAAAAAGTTAAGCGTTAATTCATGAGATATCAATTTACATATAGCGTTTTTACAAAAAACGATTAATTATATAAGTCGTGCAAGACAAATCAAAATCGTTTGGTGAACTCAATGAAAAATATGACATAAATATACAGGGGTTACAAAAGTCGTACTAACAATGAGCTGTTACTAGAATTGGTTGGAGGCGAAATCGACAGGAAGCCTTCGACCTTGGGTCTCGTGCTTGTTGGCACTCACCAGTCAGCAAGGCGTATCTACAGTCTTGGAGGAACTCATGTTCCTTCTGTGATTCGAACCCATATCACCCAGTGCTGCAGTCATAGACGTTACCATTGAGCTATCTGGGCGTGCAATTGACTTCCTGTAGGACTTTATGACACTTTTTATTAGACGCTAACTAGTGTCATGTGTCTGGTCCTTTTTTTTACTGCAGACTGTCATTATAAACAAATAATTCGGTTTATAACATGCTAAACAGTTAAAGTCATGTGTCATAATCTTCACTTTCCTGTGAAGTGTTTACGTATATGGATGAATTATGCATCAAAGATTGCTTTTCCGTTTATACTTTTAAGTACCTATGTAAGAGGAATACTTCATATTTTTTTCTGTGAATTTTAAACCGCCTCATTATTTCCATTCTAAGATAAGTGAATTTAACATTGAGAAGATAACCAGTATATAATGATAATTTTGTTAGTACGATTGCTCGATTTCACACGCATACATCAGTTCAGTTAGGTTGTGGTTCATTTCATTCTAGAAAATGTCTACCAGCAAGATAAACTATGCAACTAAGATCTAAATCATTTAAGACCCTAGGCTCACATAATTCTTTAAGCCCTAAGAACATGTGGTGTACATTATCAACTGAAGTGTATTAATATATGCGTAAAACTTGGGCACTGGGATAGTTGGTAATTCCATATTACAGGATTTCATCATGAGCTGACATTGGTTAGAGAACCATTGGAAAACCTGGGAGTACTGGATAGCTGTTTCGTCCTAGTTCAGGACTCTTCATCAGTTCGAACCCAGGACCTTTTGGCTACAAGGCCGGCGAGCTCGTATACCATTATGCCACTGGGACCCGATCAAATGGCCAACCCATGAATTCTAACTTCTGCCAATTCACGACATAGCGCGACCCCTAGCCAATGTCTTCGGCAAGTATTTGTCCTCACACCCGACCTGCTGTTCCCTACTGGTCACGACTTCTCACTAGAACCCCAGATAACTACCTATCTGAATAGGGCGAGTCGCTAGTGAGCATCTCATCGATATCTAACCAATGTCAGCTCATGATGAAATCCTGTAACCAATCAAATTCCTACAGACAAACACTTAAATTCCATATTAGTTTGTTTATTAGATGTATCACACAGTCCATGAAACAGTATTATTTACTCAATGAAGTTTCGAACAAAATTTATTGTTCATAATCATATCAATTGTAATCACACGACTTCTAATCATCAGGTTTATAGTTTTCTTTGTCCTCTCCTATTTGTCGTCGTAGGGGTAGTAGAATTTTGCAGATATCTGGGACAGGTGTTAAATTATTTCTATTACACTTATTCTCCTCAGTTGATTCGATGAAAAAAGTTTCTGTTATTAGTCTCTCCCTCGAACCTGTTACATTAGATTTCAAAACTGTCATCTTACCCCCCATCCTATTGTATGGTTGTGTGCAATTGCATGTGGTGAGTGGTATAGCTGAACTATTCTGCAGATTGCTCATCTTATTCGGGTCAACTAATCTAGATTTAGCTAGGTTTCTATGCTCGGCTAGTCTGACCCACTGCCCTTGTTCTACTAGTTTGACCTATGTATTTCACCTGACAATCATTGCAGGGTATTAGCACTACATGCAGTTACACACAACCATACAATAGGATGGGATAAGATGACAGTTTTAAAATATAATGTGACAGAGTGGAGATTGATAACAGGAGCTTTGTTTATCGAATCAACTGAAGAAAATAAGTGTAATAGGAATGATTCAACACCTGCCCCATATATCTGCAAAATTCTACTACCCCTACGACGACAAATAGGAGAGAACAAAGAAAGCTATAAAACTGAAGTTTCAGTCATGTGATCATAATCGGTATGATTATGAACAATAAAGTATGTTCGAAACGTTATTGAGTAAATAATACTGTTTCATGAACTGTGTGATACGTCTAATAAACAAACTAATATGGAACAACTGAAGTGTACCTTTCCCCACAGAAATGCATGAACAGGAATTATCAGACCTTGCGAATAGAGGCTTTGGAGCACATTCCCGAATAACTAACTTGCAGACGAAGTTGAAATATCTGATGCTATCGATGTTGGTAAAGAAAAAAGACATTCAAACTCTGAAATTTTTCAAATCATTCCTTACGTTCCGAGTGGAACACAGAGTCTCAACTTTTAAAGTTTCAGTAGCGATAGTTTTATTTTTACGGAGTAGTGTTTCTGACCTGACGTTGTCCAACCTTCCTTTTATTTTAGGCTTACTACAACCTAGGAAATTAGGCGAGATTTAGGAGTTCATCAGGCTGGAATTGAAGCCGAATCACTCGCGTGATTGGCAAGTGTGGTTTTAAAACATATTGTTGAGCATGAGTCATATAAGAAATACTTGTACATTTTTTAAAATCTATTTACAAAGCCCGTAAAAAGTGTTTTCACAAATAGATTGTATTCATTAAACATTGATGGTAAAGGTTAGGTTATTTCCGTATATGTAAAAAGAATACACACGCATATGGAAATTGTTCAATCAAAAATTGCGCTTTGTCATCCAAAAGTCTATAAAGTACTGTTTCAGATTTGTTAATCTTTACTATTTATTACTTTTACCTTGAAACAAATCATTTCATTTGATCCTCCTCTTTCATTTTCCATAATTCTTTATCATTTTTTTTTCATTTAAGTTCCTATGGAAAGTGTTTGTGCAATACAATTAAATGACTTATGAGAATCGGGTACATTTTAATAGTTCATTGGTATATGACAAATCGACATATGGTTTAAAGATTCAACCAGCGATCCTCAGATTATGTATGAGATAAGCTAACCGACTAACGAAACAAAGGTCGACTATTCCCGAGTTCTCTCAATTCAGAAAAAAGAACGCGACCACAATCTAAAGTTATATCCTCACAAACAAAATATCTTTAATATCACTCCTTAACAATACTGATGACTAGCTTCAAGATAGATTTCTCCTGACTGGTTTCAACATAGAACTTTACACCGATGTGCGGCATTTCGAGTGGCGACACTTCATGCAGCACATAAAGCAAGAGAAGAAAGTAAAAAAAAGATTCAAAATAAAGATATAAGGCAAAATGAATAGTAATGAATATAGAAGAACAAAACAGTTTTACTGGATATTATAAGTCACAAAGAGTGGATGCGTCTGTGCCATTGAGAAAGATTTTCAACCATATCACTAATTGTCTTCAGCCTTCATTGGTTTTTACCAACCCGAGGACCCCAACCAGGAAGTCTACACCTTCCTACGTAACTGGCTTAAGCTAACTGTTGTGGATCTCATTGACTGATGAAGCCACGTTTTAGTTTGACCACCACCGGCTCTTTTCCAACCTGACCCTATGTCAGCTAACATTACCCGTTGAGGAAGGCGATGACTAGGCATGCGTAACACATGTTCTAACCATCTTAGTCGATGTAACTTCACAGCCTCGTTTATTGATTTGCCCTGTTTACCTAGCACTCGACACCTAACCTCAATATTGCTCACCTTATTATGCCATTTCACATGGGAGATAGAAAGCAGGGACATATGATCAAAGACAGCCTTTTCATGGCTTCCACTTTCAATGACCATGTCTCACTCACAGTCATAACGGAGGACGGAGCGAACTTCTGAGCAGTGCACACTCCCTTCGGTCGATAGCCGGATACAATGTCTACGCCAGAGACGGAGTAAACTAGCATATGCGAAAGGAGCCTTGGATGGATTTCTTCAAGTTTTGATTAGTGGACCACTGGTAAATTAATGGTGACTGTTATGTTGCTGCTGCTGAGTGGTTAATAGTAGTTTTCCCCGTCGCCAAATTGTTATGTACTCGTCGCTAAATTATTGCTATGTACAGGTCGAGAATTTAATAGTCCTGACGCAAGAAGGTGGAAATCAGAAGACCACTAGGTTTGCGATGATACTTCTATTTTCCAAACACAAGGAGAAGCAATAAGTGGTATCACACCAAAGTAAGTAAGTAAGTGTAACACAAACTGTGAAAGCGAAATATATATATGACAAGGGTGTGAACAATCATTAGACAGTCTTAACATGAATGGCTAATTATAATGAAGTATCGATCCATATATACATAGCGAAATATAGCAGACATGTCAATAACCACCATATATGGATATATGTCACCAAGCAACGGACTGTCAACAATCATATTATATATAATATAATATAAGGAGAATATACATTGTTAAAGGAGACAGGTTCATACAAGTGAAATGGTCACAGACTAAGCGAGCAAACAGAAAGAGAGACCAACATACACACACACATAAATGTATATGTGGATACATATCAGTGGCTATATGGTAACGTGCTCATCTCGAAATATGCCTATGCACTACCTAAAAATACTCCACTGGAACAAAGCAGCTTTTCAATCCCTAAAAGTTCTTCAACCAACGTTAGTTTTTCACAGAATCTATCTTGAGATCAATCACACTTTCTTCCAGTTACTCCTTAGGAAAACTACATTTGTCTACAACTACTTCTCTCAATTTGAAAATTAGAGGGTACGTAGGCAATATAAAGAACAGCATACGAAAACACTATGTCAATTGTTTTATACTGCAGTTTTAAGAGAATACACTGAAAAAACCGTCGTCCCCCCATCTCCCCTAGTCACTTGTCAAATAACACAGGTGTTCTATGGGTACAGTAGCAATAATACAAAATACACCAATATCTCTGAGTTTGAGTCACACTCATATACTTAAGAATTAGCTATATACACAAGACAGTAGAAGGGGATATTTATTTAAGGTTAAGCAAAGCAAAGAAACAACTCACCCTGTATACTTTTGTATCACGATATAATTCAGGTAGGATAGGATCAGCTGTAATGAAAAGATTCAATAATTTCTCTAAATACTCTTGATTTTTTGCATCCTCTTCTGATATTACATAGAAGATTTCATTTTCAACAACCTCTTCATTGAGCTGTTCAGCTGAATCTGCATTACTTTTATCCGGGCGACTAACAGGTAACAATTGTTTTGTGAATTTGCATGCCTTTGATTAACATAAAAAAAGGTATTTTAAAAAAAAACGACACATGAAACGGAAGAACGTAAGGGCCTAATAAAACTAAAATCAAGAACATCTTAAAAGAAAGGTGACAAACGTATTATTAAGTGTAGGAAATTTATGCAATATATATTTAAAAGAAGAACATATTCACGTAAAACCACTTAAGATCAACTTCGACTGTCTTGCTAATCTCATTAAGTGGAAGAGCCTAGAACTGAATAACAAGACTCATGTTAATATGAGTCTACGACGCCTATGTTGACAAGATATTAAGTCTGTTCGAAACGTTCAAAATCAGCAATCCTTTTAATTCGAAAGTAACTAGTTTAGTTAGTGTGTGTCGGTGACACTGAGATGGGATGCTGGGGTCTGATTCCCGGCCGACGCACACCTTTACCTCGCTAAGCCGGTAATAGGACTGGTAAAGAGGGAAGGTTGGGCATGAGGTTAGTAATTCCATCCCGTAAATATAAACACTACTGTTACAGAAACTTCAAGCTTGTAGCTTGAAGCCCTATGTTCCACTGGGGACATAAAGGAATAAAAAAAATTAGTTCAGTTAGTAAAGAGATTCTAAAATTCAGTAAACGCAACAATCAAATTCAAAAAGAGCGCAATGCAATTGTGACGTGAAAGTGGTACATTGCATGTGCTACATAACAGCATTCAAACCTGTTTAACTCATTTGATGAAGTAATTAAAAACATTTAATTTTAGGTGATATGATAAGGTTACAAGTATCCAATTGTAGGTGAAAGCAACCAACCAGGAGTATCAGAGTCAGTAAGAGTTGAAGACAATACATGTCGGTCAAGCTTAATGTAAATCTGAACAGGTTGAAGTGATTGAGATATATGAAATGCATAATTGTGGCGCATGCTACTGATAAAATTTATCAATAGTATATAAACAAAAGTTCAACAGCACAAAAAAAATCAAATAGCAGGGAGATGGATAGATTTCATGTCAGAGAAAGCAAATGATACACAGTTGCGGAGATACATAGGACACCTGAAAGGAACACAAAGAAACACAATATGAAGGCTAGAAGTAGCACAACACGGATGCGTTGGAGATAAGGTGCACATAACTTCGCTATACAGAGATACCAAGTTCCAAATAAACGTTCATTTACCAAGTTTCTCGTCTTTTACCGTTACATGATTTATCATATACTAGGAGAATACGCACATTTCATAATATATGACGCGTGTGATTACCTCGTGTGGACCCACAATGAAACACAGTGATCGAGAGAAATGTCTGAAGGAATGCAATGAACACCGTTTCCTTTTTACACCCGCGGATGCCTACTAATTAGTTTAGGTTATATACTAAATTTCTAAATTAGTTCTTGATAAGACAAAAATGATAACTGACAACATGAGAATAATAGGAATGAAAACCTCTGGTATAGGATGCACATTATTATAAAGCTACTGAACCGCTCTAAATATGAATGAAAAAGTATAGAAGAATAACTACACAAAAGGGTAGTGTGTATGTTTGAAACACTAACAGAAACTTAACATAACACACAATAAGAATTCATTTTTTACTTTACAACATGATGAAGATGTGAACAAGAACACCATTTGCAAATAAAGAATAAGTCACATGACAAAAAAAGAAGTTAAATTCCTAATCAATAAAAACGATCAATACTGAGTGATACAAATTAACAACCAATTACGACAAAGGCTGACAAGAGATACAATTACGTCATATTACAGCTTGCGCTGAAGGGTACTGTCTGCATGAAAAGAGAAAGGTTAGCAACTAAATCATCCATCTGACTGACTTATAAATCTTTCCTAGCACTTCAATATGGAGATGGATAGATATCATTCAATAAACGGGTTGGTTATTGTGAAGCAAAAAAAGGGATTTAGGAACTTTGATAGCTCAAAGAAAGCGGTAAAATGAAAACTTTATTATTACTAAGAGACAAGTCAGAAGAAACAACATTGTTTTTCTCTTTTCCAATTCACTGAGAAAAATAAACCGCAAACTAATGAATATCGTTCGAGTTGTAACAAAATGCCGTCAAACCATTGATTTTTAACTTAATTTAAATATCTACAATAAATTGGTTGAAGTTAACCATGTTATGTGAAGGACAATATATGAAATGTGATTCACTACATAAAAGCAATGTAAACTTAACGTTCTTTGGAAAGGTTTTTGTGCTAGCAAATTGATGACAGAAAACCAACCGATCGGAGTTGTAATTAAGGTTCCTTATGCATTAGGTCCTTTAAAAGCGGTAATATGATTCAGCACTGATTACTTCACATATATGTGGATTTGCCACTTACTGGTCGTAGCAACTGGCTTTTAAAAGTAGGGTTCTAGATTCAAATCTTGCTTTATCTGGACAATCTTTCTCTACTTTAGTTTTCATACATCAAGTTTGGCATATAATTTATCACAGAAACGTATCCAGGACTCATCAGATGGCCATAGAAATTACGTCAAATCAGCAAATGCATTTTGTGCTCTGATTCAGCTATCTCAGCAAAGTTAAACTTTAAGCACCAGTAAGTAGTGACCCTGAGCGCACCAGTCACATGACAAAGGCGATTTTTGCGTATGAAATGCACATATTCATGAAAATAATGAATTAAGAGGCATGAGACTGTTGCACAGGATACTTTTTTCTGATATGTAACAAAAATGCCTCTCTCAGTTTTGGACTGGAGTGTCAATATTCTCTGAATATATAATTATCTAAGTCTTCTAATGTCCTCCTCGGCAGGTTAGCCCAGGCCTAACCTATCATTAGCCTAAGGCTTAACCTTATCTTCCCCACAGCTAACCTGAAACTTGCCAGATATCCTATTTAATAATACAACACTTCATCAGGCATATTTTATTCATGATTAGAATATTATTCACTAGGTCTCACTGACTTGCTCACTGAGCATTTCAAGGTCGTTGGTGCGGTCACACTCCATTGGTAATTACTGGCGCTTAAACTTTAACTTGGCCATATAACCTTGATAAAATACGAATATTAATTATAACACTTACTTTTTACGAGTTGATCGCCGATTAATATCGGCTATAGAACCATTGAAAACCAGGGAGTACTGGACAGCTGTTTCATCCTGGTTAGGGTCGCGCTAAATCACGAATTATTAGAAGTTAAAATTCATGGGTTAACCACTGAATCGGGTCCCAGTAGCTGAATGGTATATAAGCTTGCCTTGTAACCGGAAGGTCCTGAGTTTGAACCCCAGTGGGTGCGTACTGCCTATGATTCCCAAACTAAGATGAAATATCTATCCAGTACTCCCTGGTTTTCAATGCTTCTCTAACTGATATCAATCGGCGATCAACTCGTAAAAACAAAACTAACCCATTCAAACCAAACTATAGTAATTATAACACTTACTTTTAAAAATGGTTCCATTCCATCAATGGAAAGCAGATCTTGTATCAGTCTGTTTGAAGCGCGTAAACGCCGATATAATGGATTCTCTGGGGTCTGAATGAGATTTTGTAGAATTCGAATAATATTTTGCTTTCTATTTTCTTTGATTTCACTAAGAGAAGTTGTAGTACTATGAGATGGTGGCACTTTGCTTCTTTCTAGCCCTCGTATAAGCATTAAAACAACAGCTTCATTTGTATTACAATTGGATTCAGACAAAAGATAATTTTGAATAGCTTGTTCTACTTCATCTCGAGATCCCATTACTGTATCACCGAACAGGTTGGGACACCAAAACAATAATCCTGAAGGGAATTTTTAAAAGATGAGAACTGTTTTTGAAGTGATTATGGAAATCAATATACTAGTAACTGATAATGGATGGTTATATGGCTCATTAGCCTAGATACTAAACTTTCGCCCGGTGGACTATGAATTCGAACCTTGATAAAATTACCCAACAGATCGTATTATCAACCCTTACACAACAGACCTAGTTCACTGTCATGTGTATGAAAATGAATATGGCTGTTGAGGTAATTCACATTTTATGAGTATTTCATGAAGTTAATACTTAATTAACAAACTCAAAGAAGATAGAATAATTACTGCCTCTTCCTTAATCCACTAATACATCCCTTATACTGAAATACTTCCAACTATTATTTGAAAAATGTTTGGTATTTGGGACTAACACAAAGGCTTTTCATGAATAGAAGGCGCCTAAATTACGATTTAAATGTCCTCAGGGAGATGGTTTTACGTGATTTTGTATTACATGCTTAGAGGAATGTTGTAATCATATCAGGTATTACGTTTGACTGTTTTGAAGATGTTTCATCGACTATTTTTAGACAGCTGGAATATCTATGCTAGGGTGAGTATTGTACTATGCGCGATAATACCTTGAGATTACTTTTATTCTCACCCTGTTTCATGCTATTACATTAAGTATCACATTAAAAGTTCTAAAGGCACAGGGTCTCCTTATTATGTTATCTAAAAGTTTTACGGACATAAGCCGTTTAAATGAAAAACGTGGATCTAACCTTCATGCTGTTCGTTGGTGACACAGAGGTAGAATGTTCGCCCACCACACATATGGTCCAAGGTTCGATCCCCGGCCGGCGCATTCCTTTACCTCGCTAAGCCAGTAATAAGAGTAGTAAAGAGGCGAGGGTGGGCATGAGGCTAGCAACCCCATCCTGTAAAAATAAACACCGCTGCTACAGAAACTTCAAGCATGTAGTCTGAAGCCCTATGTTTCACTGGGAACGTGAAGAAATATAAAGAAAAAACTCCTTCATGCTACGTTTTTTTCAGAAATGCCAAATGTTTATAAAAGAACTTCAGCATGCTAGAAAAGAATAGTATGCAAATTAACGTCATCAATGAAGAAAACTTCTGATTATCGAATATTATATGGCCACTATTCTTTAAAAATAAATAGCTGCAGAGGGACTGGTCAAACCATGAATAATAAAGTAGATTCGTCAAGTATTTATACACACAAAAACACATGTACAACAACAGTTGTACAATATAATTGGAAATACAAGTAAAACAAATTTCTAGACAGATTGTGCCAATTCTGATCAGTTAGTCCACATGATCCATGTATACTAAAAGCTACGCTATCAAAATAAAAAAAACAATCTATGTGGAATAGTTAATGCGTATTTCCGATCGATAAAACTACTCTCCTAGTGCAATTCACTTAACAGAAAATATCAATTAATTTTTCTATTATATTTACCTAGAGAATTCATTAAAATAGTAATTGAAATGTACAAAAGTATGCATACTTGTTCATTGGCACATTAAGATAATAATATACAACAGTAAAAATATAAGTATATATATGCACATTCGTTTTTGAACCTACAATGGATTTATGACAACTGACTATCAAAGCATAACGTGATATGGTGAATATACACTTGTGTATTCATCTTAGAAATCATAAAAATATACTTTTAGAGTTAATACGTACGATTCAGTTGTCATGCACACAAGACATACACTATGAAAAGACTAATAATCTTACAGACATTGAGTCGATAGAGGTTATCCTCACACCCGACCTCCTGTAACCAATCAAATCCCTACCAACCAACATTTAAATATTGATGAGATGCTCACTAGTGACTTGTCCTATTCAGGTAGGTAGTTATCTGGGGTTCTAGTGAGAAGTCGTGACCAGTAGGGAACAGCAGGTCGGGTGTGAGGACAAACACTTGCCGAAGACATTGGCTAGGGGTCGCGCTATGTCGTGAATTGGCAGAAGTTACAATTCATGGGTTGGTCATTGAATCGGGTCCCAGTGGTTTAATGGCTTACGGGTAGCCTTGTAACCAGAAGGTCCTGGGTTCAAACCCCGGTGGGTGCGTACTGATGAAGAGTCCCAAACCTTGACGAAACAGCTGTCCAGTACTCCCAGGTTTTCCAATGGTTCTCTAACCAATGTCAGTTCATGGTGAAATCCTGTAATCTGAAATTTTGTTTGCTAGTAGGTGGCATTCTCAAAAGTTAAAGCCGAATTACTCAAACTAAGTAATTGAATAGACTAAAAATGGACAGTATTTATATTAATGGGGTAGTGATAAAGTTAATTCCAATAGTGGTTTTGAATAGTCCAGAAACTACTCCCTAGCTGTCACTATGATTACTAAGTAAAAAATTGTCTAGGGACTAGTTGTATTTCCTAATAAATAGACCTCGTAGTTGCCGTATTACCTAGTTTGTGAAAAAAGAACGGCTCTACTGCTGGATTCATACAATTAGTCTGCAGAAACATACCACACTGGTTGACAGTGTGAAATAAGAGAAACTACGTTCTTGCAAACTAGTGATAGTCTGTGTACAAATAACTATGATGTCAAGTGACAACTTATAAGAACAATTCAAATACCCGTTACTAGACCCTATACAGAAAAAGACAGCTAAATGTCTTAATTATACGATCTCTTTCCACCGGGACTTTATCCATCATTGGTTTACTGTCAACTTTATTAAGAAACTACTCCTAACACATATTCCTTGTCATCGAAGTCATTACACGTAGATTTGTCGCCTGACATAATATCAGGAAATACAGAGTTTATGTTAACAAAAGATAATTACTGTACCATTACACTACACATTCTGCTATTCACTTTGAATATAAAATACAAAATATAGCTAAGAATAAGGACTAAAACGAGGATAAATGCAGGTGAAATCTTTTAGAATTAGGTTGGATGGATTTCTAGGGAAGTCTTCCTTTTGTCGTAAAACGTCAAGCCTATTAAGTTTTATACAGAAAGTTCTAGTTGATCATCTGTCTCCAATGTAATACATTTAGAAATAACTGAAGGCAGGGAGCGACTTACTTGGAATAACAGCAGGTTTTTCTGCATCCACCTGCTGTACAGTTTGTTGTTCATGCCCTACTCCGACTGACTGATTTCGCGAATTCCCACCACTCTGGGTAAACACATTCACAGAAACTATAAAAGGAATAGAAGGGAAACAAGTAGATAGCAGTAGTCAGATACAGTTGGAATTCATTGTTAATACAGCAACGAAAAATATACATTAGAAGATATTATCACTTGTTGTCCATTATACCACACCGCAACATTTTGTCCAGATACACATTCAGAGTCACAACCGTTGCCTTCTAATCTGAAATATTTTAAGATATAAAAGTAAACTTGCTGAACAGCAAGAAGTTATCCCCTAATAGAATACACATGTCAAGAATCATATCATTATTGAATAACAGAGAACAACTATCCAATGATATGAGATGATGAAATGAAACGTTTTTCATCCTGCATCAGTTATTTAGAATGAAACTGCAATACTCCACTAGCATTTAGTAACCTTTGGACACAGGTTAACAACAGCCTTCCCTACAGTGTTTTACAGAAGACTGAATATGATGTCAACTTTTTTCAGCACAGTTGTTGTAGTTACGCTATAGTAAGTGTTAATTTATCTACTTAAATGCAGACTTCAGGTATTCGTAAAGAAACTAGGCACGCAGTCACTTTTCTCGATGAACAGAAAGAAGACTGGATAGTGACCTCACTAGCAGATTACAGAGACGTCTTGGCAGATTTTTTAAAACAACCATTTACTTTGAAAAGTAACATAACTATGTGACTAAACACCACAAACATCAACTAGGCGATAAACAAAATAATACTGGTCACTGTTAAAAGGCTATATTCCATGATATTTATTACCTTTCATCGCATCATAATCTAGATAGTTCGATATGGAGATAGACGTTTGTGTGTCCATCAAGAAGGTGGTTAAGGAATGAATTCCAAGATTGAATAAGATACTCATCTACGCAACAAGTCTTTTTCCCATACAGTTTACTATGTACGTGAAGATGAGGAAATTAAGTGACTCATCAAAAGATTAGGCCGATGCAAACCACGAGGACTAAGTTAATTAACAGTGAACTTGAATCAGTGCTCAACAAATAGGACAGTAAAATGAACAGAACAACACATTAATGAGTTGCAGCAACAAATCGGAATCAACTTGTGTTAAATGTATTACAAAGTCGTTAGTTACGTTATTATTTATTTATTTAAACGCATAAAAAACTTGGTACAATATGGCACCAAGAAAGATGCGCCACACAATAATAATAAAACAACATAGATCAAAAAAAGGAAGGAAGGAAAGAAAAAATATATATAAGTAGAGAACGGATAAAGAACTTCATCTGGAAGGAAAACAGTCATGCTTAACAAGTTCAAACAGTGTTCGTTAGCTATCATCGGGAAGGGAAGAAAGAAGGAAATCGCAACACATTCGCCACTGATTACGATTCTTGGCCATATCCGATAACGTTTCGAGCCATCGATTTGAGCTATCTCTCGGACCCCAACCAGGGAGTCGTGACACACCAACCGATGCTAATCTAGCACAAAAATCCTTCATCCCACGACGCCACGTCATGGACTGACCACCTCTCCGCCTTTTCCATCCCGTCCCAGGGCTAGCGAACAGAGACCTGTACGGAAGCCTCTGGGGTGACATTCGGAGCACATGTCCAAGCCACCGGAGCCGGTGTTTCCAGATGACGACATTCAATGAATGGTGATCTCCACTTTGTTCAAACACACGCCGCCGAACCTCAGAATTACTCACGCGATGATGCCATCGAACGCAAGCAATCCTGCGGAGACAGCGGTGATCGAACACGCAGAGTCGCCGCACATCCTCAGCTCGGAGAGGCCAGGTTTCACAGGCGTAGAGCAGCGCAGCCCGCACCGAAGCATTGTATACCCGACCTTTGACAGCCAGGCTAACGTCGCGACGGCGCCAGAGGTGGCTCAAGTTGATGTATGCCACCCTAGCCTTCATTATACGGTTGGAAATCTCATCCGTCACCCCTCCGCCAGCACTCACACAACTACCCAGGTACACAAACTTATCAACAACTTCAAGCGGTTCACCCGCAAGAGTGAGTGCAGGTACAGGCTCCTGCCAATCTTGTAACAGTACTTTGCACTTAGACGGCGCAAAGCACATACCATACTTACAGACACTGATCGCCAACTGATTAAGTGCGATTTGGGCAGCCTGCATGCTATCGCACAGTAAGACGATATCGTCTGCATACTCGAGGTCGAAAAGTCTATCTCCAGGTAGCAGATCTACACCACCTTCACGCACATCCTTCAGAGCTGACTCCAGAATGTCATCGATGGCAAAGTTAAAGAGAAATGGAGAGATTGGGCAACCCTGTCTAACCCCACTGTTGGTTGGGAACAGTGGTGATAGTTGGTTGTATGCCCTCACTCTACCTGAGGTGTTTCTGTATAGGGCTTTCAGGATGTTAACAAATTTCTCAGGTACACCTCTCTCTAACAGACAGTTCCAGAGCACAGTTCTGTCCAACGAATCGAAGGCAGCCCTAATATCAAGAAACACAACGATCGTTGGCCTGCAATACGTGTGGCGGTGTTCCAACAACTGACGAAGGGTGAACACATGATCAATGCATCCACGACCTGAACGAAACCCAGCCTGCTCTTCGCGAATCAATCCTTCACGTATTTTGCACAGTCTGCGAAGCAAGACAGCAGCCAATATTTTAGACGCGACTGGTAACAGACTGATACCCCTATGATTGTCACACGAATTACGTCGACCCTTTTTAAAGATGGGGACGATAATGGCTTCGTTCCACATTGATGGTACACTCTCTGTCTCCCACACCTTCCTGAACAACCCAGTTAGAGCCATTGTGAGAGTCTCGCCACCATCTTTAAAAAGAGCCGGGGGTAATTTGTCTGGGCCGGGCGCCTTATGGCGTTTCAGAACTTGGAGTTCCTTACGGACCTCCGCTTCGGTGGGTGGGTCGGTACTAACCGACCAAGGAGCACTCGGGCTAATGATAGTAGACACTGAAGCTGGTGGCCAGCTGAACTGCTTCCCGAAGTGCTCTGCCCAGCGTTCCAGGCGTCTTTTCAGGCTGGTAATTGGAGTGCCATCTGCCTCACAGACCGTCTCGCTGACACCTTGTTTCTTGCTGCCGGTGGCTCGTATGAGTTGGAACAGCTTCCGACTGTTGCCAGATGCAGCAGCTGACTCCATCTCACACGCACGTTCTGACCACCAGGCTTCGCGGTCCTTACGTAAACACTGTCTAATCTTGCGCGTGAGCGCCTTTCGCTGATTGTTGTATTCGCTGCCAGCCGGAATGGACCGGCGTTCATCCATGAGTTGCAAGGAACTCGCAGAAACCCAGTGGTTGTTAGCGGAGCATTCTTTCAAGCCGCAAGCGGCTACACTCGCCTTTTGCATGGCACCTTGCACATGAAGCCAATGTTCATCTATACTACTTGGGGAGTTGCTGGCAAGCATTGTTTTTAACTCATTCTGATATTTCAAAGAAGTAGCAGGTGCTACTAGTTTGCTCACATCAACGCTTAGACGACGGCTTTTACGAACCCCACCAAATCGCAAGACGAACTTGGCACACACTAACGCATGATCGGAGTCCAGGCATGTGCTCCAGAAGGAGCGACAGTCTTGTATGCATCCTCGCCACCGGAAACTGACAGCAATATGATCAATCTGAGTCCAAGCTTTTTTTTTTTTTTTTTTTTTTTTTTTTTTTTTTTTTTTTTTTTTTTTTTGGAAGTTGGTGCTGGCTAGAAATAGGTTGTGATCCGCGCAAAGCTGCAGAAGACGGTCCCCATTATCTGACCTGCGACCATGTAGTCCCCATTGACCACCTAGACGATTCTCCTCTGAGCTTAGACGCCCCACCTGTGCATTCAAGTCCCCAGCCAGCACTACGATATTCCTCCGACCCGCCTGTTTCAAGAGATCGCTCAGTTGGTAGTAAAACTCATCCTTCATTGCATCCGGGCTGCAATCCGTCGGTGCATAGGCAGAGACAACAAATAGACACCGCCTATCTGGCCTACTACTCTTTACTTTCGTATAAGCTTCCAGCCTCACAGCACATAAACGACTGTTAATGGGAATCCAGTCGAGCAGTGCAGCTTCGGCTCTAGCGCTCAGTGCGACACCGACACCAGCTACGCCGGGTGCCGACGCCACAGGGTCCCCGGATAAGCGCAGGTGGTACATACTACTAGAACTTCCAGATGGAGAGGATAGTCGAAGCACTTGACTGGGATCTTGAATGCGGGTCTCCGAAACGCAGCAGACATCGATAGCGAGGCTTTCCAAAGTTTTTGCCAGCCCTGCCTGTTGTCCGATTTGCATCAGCGTCCGAACATTGTAGGTAGCCAGCTTGAATGCAGCACGCGGTTTCAGGATATCCGTGTTAGATGTCACATTGGGAACAACCATTTTGAGGACTACTCACTAACATCTCGAAACGACACGGATAGGCTGGGAATCTCGACAAAGGCGAAAGGCTGTCGAAGGTTAAGAAGCCAAGGTTAGAAAAGGTACAATACAGGAAACTATGTGTAAAAATAAAAGTAGGGTAGGAGGGAAATAAGTTCCTTGAGGGATCAGTATTGCTTGGAATCATTTTGCTAGCGCGCGTTGAGTTTCAATGGGAGTTCGTTGCTTTAATTCATTCATTGTGTGCGGGCTGAGATACTGCCCGGGCGCCCAGACCGAAGCAGGTAGTTTTATTAAGGGACCACCCCCGAGCCTTTGACTTGGAGTCTAATCCGCAAGGCAGCGGAGCAGCGTTATTGATTATAGGGGTACAATTGTTTGTAGTATAATTAGAAATCGAGTTTGTGTAAGTTTTCTAACTTCGTTATGGGGGATATTTTTAACTTAACATGACAGAAATCCACGTCAGACACAGTTAAAATGAGTGAATTCAAGTCAGTGAAACGGTATTTTCGTTCTCTAAAGTTTATTTCCAAAGCTTTTATGTGCATGAGAGGTTACAGTCGAAAAACTGAAGCTATTTAGTTTGAGGAAGAAATATTAGTTTCACTTCAACAAAAAGCTATTTAGTTGTGTAGTTTAGTGCATAAACGGAAGTTAAGTGAAATACAGGGTGTGCGAATACATTTACAGTGTGATTCTAATAATAAAATCCACATATTTTCGTATACTTTTACATTTTTAATGCGCTGTTTCAAACTACAATATTTTTCACTTTGAGACTAAACATAACTAAAAAGAAATAACGAAACATTAGATTAAATTTATACGATATATGTTTTAGTTCTTAGGATGAATATTACTTAAAATGAGACAAATGCAACACAACTCCAGGCATTAGGTCATTCATACTGAGACCACTGAGATATCCAGTGATTTTGATTGAACACTAGTAACTAGTGTGACGTATCTAGTCCTTTCTATCTAATATATCATTAAATCAATGTGCACCATAATGGCGAGCTACCTATTCCTTAGTCTCACACCTCTGTTTACTGTCTCTATTATGCATTTCTTCTTTCTTCTCTTGCTTTGTGTGCTATATGCAGTGTGGCGACTTGAACTGCCGCACATATACGCAAAGTCCTATGTCGAAAACAGACAGACCTAGAATGGTCGCCACATTGCAAAAACTGACTGATAAAATTCAGTCTGCACCAAAGAAAGGACTATATACGTCACACTAGTTACTAGTGTCCAATCAAAATACCCACTACAGTCCTACAGCAGGTCAATCGCGAGCCCGAATAGCTCAGTGGTAACGTCTCTGACTGCAGCACTAGGAGATGCGGGTTCGAATCTCAGAAGGGACATGAGTTCCTTCAAGGTTGCAGATACGCCTTGTTGATGAGTGCCAACTAGCACGAAACCTAGGTCCAAGGCTCCCTGCCGATTGCCTCCAACTACCTAATATGCAATGATTGACAGACAAATGTCAAAATCTTAACACCACTTAAAATGACAATTGACGATTTTTCTCTTATTCCTTGAAGCTGCTAGCCTGAAGCCATATTATTATGTCCATTTCATTACAAATTAATCAGCAAAATTCCAAAAGACTGTTTTTTAAGGTAACTTTAAGTATCTCAAAGACCAAAATCGGTAAGATGTTACGGAGCAGTTAAGAACAAGTAATGGTGACAAGTGTTTGTAAGCAGTCAAATTTAAGTTATGAATACGTGTGAATATATATCTACTAAAAATTCGGATTTTTTATCTCGAGTACTAAATAGTAGATACCACACATACAATTTTACACGAGAAATTTTCATCGATGTAAAATTTACTCACTTCGGTATAATGCCAGGTTACGTGGTTATATACAGGAGCTACGAAACTGATTTTACTTTCGGCTCCAGTTTTCGCCTCATGGGTAAAACCAGTGCCAACACAATAGACAAGAAATGTATGGTTGTGATTAACATACTCGGTTTGTTTTCGACGCGTCGCGATAGTCGAGCACAAAAACATGCCATGTAAGAGCACCCCAGATTTTTGGTCTGAGAAAAACTGGTTTCAAGAGTTATGAAGTATGTTTCCAAGGTTAAAACGCATTCACAAGAACAATCGTTGCCAACTGATAATTGTAACGCAATGGAATGATGGCAAATAACCACGATTTGGATGAACTATTCAGAGTTCGAAGAACATGTTCAGTTTCTGCAGAAACAAATACTGACATAGCTACTCAGCAGCTTGAAATTGCGTCCATAAATACAGCTGTGTAGTATCAGTCGGCGAACAGGATTTGCTGCATCTATTCGAACCCGGTGTAGTATTATTATAACACAAAAATGCCAAAAATTCACAATTTAATTAAAAACAGTACCATTTCGCCCAATGAACATACATGGATAGATAAATGGTAACCAAGCATAGATGGAACAAGTAGGAATAAATAAAAAAGCAGCACTCAACCTTGTGGTAAATCTCTTTGGAAACATACCTGTCCGATTACCGGCAGTTGGGGGCCTTGATATTGTCAACCTGGACATTGCTGCTTCTGCTGCTTTCGAAGATGACCCTGGCATTGCAGCAGGCTCAGACTTGTTTTTACTATTTGAGGTACTATTATGAGAAATGTTCCCATCATTAAGTCGATGGCCTTCACCTAATTTCGCGAATTTTCTATCCAGATTTTTAGATTTGAAAAACTTGATTAGGTCACCCATTTGCTTTTACATGTGAACTCTTCAAGATAACTTACAAAAATACCTGAAGTGAGATGCAGTGTGAATAGATAAAAAGGAAGGCCACAACTCTTAGTAACGCAAATCTTATTCTTAGCGCTCTTTTCTGAAGGCCTCACTGAGCAATCAAATCCAATAATCAATATCGATTTCACGAGCTAGTACAAATTTGATTTATTTGTGCTCACCTCTTGATTGTGAGGTATAGGTTCCTGATCTTCGGTAGACCTCTGCGCAGCTCGTCCCGCCACTCGACTGTCGTAGCTGTGGTCGACTCCAAAAAGGAGTAGTGCTGGGATTAATTATGTGTGGTTTGTGGTATGACGTGTGTTAAGACTGTTATTACTGTGAATGGAGTTGATCCTTTCACCAGTTAGTCCTCAGGTATCGTCGTCAAGAGAAAAGAGATAATAACAATAGATATGATCAGTGAAGTTGTTCAGATTAACAGAAAGGAAAAGGAATAAAGAAAACATAAAACACAAAGCTGATTAAATTTGAAGTTTATAGATATATATGTCTATATATCAGTAATAATAATAAGTGTAGTCAGAGTTGTAAGGAGAGTAGGACGGGGTAGAATGTAAAGAAGCAAGCCGAAGAACTTAGTTGTCTACCCCCGAATGCTGTATGGGAATTTAAGGGGATAGGCCATTTGGACGCAGTCCTTGTGTCGCTGCATGATTGTTTAATCTTCGCTGAAAGATGTCCACAGATGTTGTCATAGCTACATCCGCCAATAAGGGGTTCCAGGGACTGAAAAGCCGTAATGAAAAGTGGAAGCTCACCCAAATCCTTACCCTCTGGTGAGCTATCCTTCTAGGATTTTCACAAGGAAGACTATACCTACTCAATCGCAGAACTCCTTTGTTTGGTTGACTCTTGTAATTTGTTATCTTATAGGCAGTAATCAAATACCTCTAAGTCTACGATAGCTAAGCATGAATAGGCCTAATTTCCTTAGCCTTTCATCATATGGTCTATTTCGGAGACCAACCACTCCTTTTGTTGCCCGTCTTTGGACTCTTTCCAAGGGGTTGGCGTCTATTCTAAGCAGTGGGGGTGCAATAATAATATGCAGATCAGGGAGTGGTCTGATGTATGTTTTGTACAATCTTAGAAAGATTTCAAGAGTTGTGCACTTAACTGCCCATGTGTAAAGTGTATGACCGCATATTCCTTCGCTACGTCCCCCGTGTAGTTTACGCTTCTGTCCAATCGTTCCGTTAGAACTAGACCTAAGTCGCGCTCCAACGTTGTACAGGACAAGCTTTCATTGCACAGGGTGTAACTTGTATTTTGCAGTCTACAGGTGAATAACTTCACTACTTTGCACTTTTCAGGTTGAAAGTCATGCCAATGGCCATCGCCCAGTCTTCCGGAATGTTTACATCTGCCTGAGGCCTATCTGAGTCCTCCGTACACTTTATCACCCTCCATATCTTTATGTCGTCAGCGTATAGAAGAACCAGGTGGCTAGGACGGGATGGCGGATCACTGATAAAATCAAAAACATCAGTGTTCCTAGGATAGAACCCTGCAACACTCCTGATGACGAGCCATGCCAAATGATCGGAGTCGATTGACCTCAGTGCTAAATTTCCTTCCGGCTGTTTGGCCTTTCAAACATGACAGTAGTGGCTTACCTATACCTGCCTGGCTTATTTTGTGTAAGGGAATGTCATGGTGAACAGTGTCAAATGCCTTCTCAAAATCTAGGAAGACCACATGGACTGGTATATTCATATCCTAGCATGATGTCCAATCGTCCCAGGCTGATAGTAGGTTAGTAACGCAGGATCTGGCTTTCCTGAAACAGTATTGGGCTTCATGGAGTCTATTAGACCCATAAAGGTATTCCCTGATGTGATCGTCAGCAATACTTTCCAGCACTTTTGATACCCCTGGGAGTAGAGCTACTGGTCTATAACTAGTGGCATTTTGGCTATCCCCACCCTTGAAGATCGGAGAAAGGATGGCTCTTTTCCACTCCCTTGGCAGTTTCCCCGAATCCAGTGAGTGTTGGAACAAGTCGCATACGGGCCTACAGAGAGCTTCGGTTCACTGTTTCAGAACAGATGGCTTGACGTCGTCACAACCTAGGTGTGAGTCTCTGTAGCTTCCTTAGTACTATTTCGGAGTATATTTGAGGAGTAGCCACTTGGTCTTCTTATGGTGAAATAGTAGTGTGGCATTTTGGTCTGTAATGGTAATATCCACATTGCTGTTTAACTGCTCAGCGAACGCAAAACTGAATTTTTCAGATATCTCCAGGCTAATGAGACATTGACTGTTTGGACCTACTAAGGCACATGCCCCCTAGTTAGTTGGTTTTTCTTTCCGACATAAATCCATACAAGATTTTGGAGTTTTCTAGGAGTGTTTTTGGCAAGGTTAGCCTGTGATGACCTCCTGTCACTCCTCACTCTCGCGTTGCACCGGTTTCTGAGTTTCAGGTGTGCGTGGTGATCGGTCTGGCTCTGGGATACGTGCTATGTAAACCAAGCATTCCTCTTTGCTTGCTGAATGCTTTGCGTACCGCTCTTCAACCATGATAACTTTCTTTTGGCCTGAGTTTTCACTAAAGGAACAGTATCCGAGATTGTTGCATGAATAATCTCTTCTACCAATTCTCAATGTTCATTCACAGATAACTCATCCCATGCAAAGGGCCATTCTACGCCGGACTAGAGCCTCCGCATTTCAGCGTAGTCCGCTTTTCTATAACACAGATATGGCCGCGTAATGTCCAGCTGCAAGTACTCGCGGAGAACAAGATCAAAATCTAGAGGAGTCATGATATAGACCTTTTCGACGAGTACTTGGTCGCACGTTAGAATGTAGTCTAGTTTTGATGACCTTCCACTAGGGCCTCACCTAGTGTCGTCTCCAACATCCGGAGTCAGTTCTGTATTTCTAATGGTTTGCAGTGGATTTCGACTGAATTTTCCCTTAGCACACCCCGAACCAAGTTTCAGTGAAGAAGCATTGAAATCTCCAACTATTTTAATTTGGTCATGGACTAAGTCGCGTATCCCTGTGGTGGTGCTGAGATCTCTCCAGAAGCACGCAGGGCCACCTGAGATGAAAGCCATCTCCATAGCTGTACGTCATGCATGTGTTTTTCACAAGCAGTGCCAGTTTCCAACTCCGAAACACCGCTTTTTAACTTAGAGGTGGAAAGAATCAGTTCCGGTGACTCCCTCGCCCTTTGCGTGTTAGCCCCTGGTCCATCATGTCTCACTCTTATGCTAGAACTCCTGTAGATGGCTAGAACCTAAGTCATTATTAGTATCCTTTCGGTCTATTCGGCAGAGTCTAGTGTAATCCTTAATGGGGGTGGCCTACCTTGAGGTGTGTGTTAACCCAAGTACAGCCTGCACAATTTCGCTGAACTAATGTTCAGACCTAATTTATTGCACAGTTTGGGCCACTTTGCCTGATCAAAGCCTTTTGTTCAAACAAACTGTCATTGCAGACGGGTACATTAAACAGGGTTCGATCGACTGGCCTCGGACTTAGGTTTGGTTTTCGGTTGCTTGTCCTCCTATGTAGGGTTAGTCCCTCTAGATGTCATCAGATTCTGACTGTTCTTCGTTATGTTGCAACACTTGCTGGTGGATGCAAGTGCTGCTTTGGAAATTATATCTTCCCCTGTTGTTGTAGGTGCAACTTTGGGAGTCTTCACTTTATAAAGATTGGCATTTCCAGTCAGTCGGACTGGAGTATCTTTCTTACTATCTGTACCAAGTGTTGGTAGTGTGGTGTAACAGGTGGGGAGCTGCATCAAAATGTGTTGAGACACAAGGGTGATGTGCTGTTTCTGCTGTTCGCAGATACGCTATGTGGTACTGTGCCAGGGTGACAAAGTGGGCAGATATATTGGAACCATGGGCATGGGTTATTTCCTATGAACTCATAGTATGATTTCGAAGCCCCTTTGTCACAACGGCAGTGTACCCATCGTTTGCGGAAACTGCATTCAAATGCTGAATCAGTTTTAGAAACGATAATACTACAGGCCTGACATTTATTTATTTTATTTATTTCTGATTACAGCTTGATTCCACACCGTACGGAATTTTCAGCATGGATATCGGTAGCCCAAATTTTGCAGGCCGACCATAGATATCAGGTGTGTGTCGGCAGGGGATCGAACCCGGACCATGTGCATGGTCGGCGATAGTCCTAACCACTGTGCTACCAACGCACCATAATAAACATGAAAAGCATTGCAAGTAAATCATTTTCATTCCGCAAAACTGGTTACGAATAGATTTTTTGTCTTTACCCGAGTAGAGACTGAGAAATGATGTCACATGTATATGAGTATATTATGAACAATAAGAAACTACAGAGAGGACAAACGAAATGATAAGAAACGATGAATGCCTGACAGCTTGAGGCATTGTTGTGCTACGTTATTCAAACATATTGGATTATAAACTAACTGGATTTTGAAAAAATTTATTCTAATGCATATGAATACTCTAGTGAGACGTCTTACACTGTTGGTAACCAGAGACAGAGAGAAGAAGAAGAAAGAAACAGTGAAGTCTTTAACAAAGCACTTAAGTGTACGTGCATGTGTGTGTGCATGCGTTGAAAGCGAAGTAGGAAAAGAACATCCTGATGAAGATGTGGATGTTAGTGCTGACGGTGATGACTACTACTACTACGACGATGAAGACGGGGACGACACCATTTGAGGTATGAAAACAATCTGTATCAATTCACCCTCTGAAAAACAATTTTCCTCAATATGCTGTATAACTGTACAACTTAAATCAAGTAGCGATTTTGAGATATCATCATGTTGAAGTTGACCAATTTCGTAATTCTGATCTAATTCATCTTGTACACGAATTAATCCATGAAACTGTTCACAACCGTAATCCAAAACACAACCAAGTGGCCAACGCTTTCCAAAGTAGGCTAAAATAATAGTATTATTCGGAAGAATATCAGGCATAATTGATGAGCGTAGAACAAATTTTTCTCATTCTAGTATGTCTCTGGGATGTTTACCACCTGGTAAAGCTTCCATTTCAGCTCTTAGTAAAATCAGTTTAGCTTTTGCAGCTCGAGCACGATCACTTAGCGGTTTGGTGGTAGTTGACTCCTTTGGTTTATTTCCAATTGGTGTATGCGAAATAGCATTTAAAGCAGCCCGATCGACAACAACAGCTTTAGCTGACTGGCCTTTATCCTTTTGATTTGATTCCAGGAAAGGACATTCATGAACTTCTTTTTGTTTATGACTGATACAGAAATTCCCATTGCATACTTCACAAGTTAACAGCACCAATTGTCGTTCACTGCACTGATGAAAATCACAAACATTACCGTATTATCTTCACCATTATCAGTATCATGATACTGTCTATGACTGATAGATTCTTCAGGATAGGAAGGATTTGATATAGGACAGTTATGCGCTGTCAAGGAACTGTGAGTCATGCAAAAGATACGACTACAGAGTTCAAAATTGATAGGCAGGAAATCTAACCGCTTGCAATCCTCCTGAGAACAATTAGCTCCGATATTGAGCTCAGTCATTATGGATGTCTATAGAATCGCTGTCAATAATCTGGAGAAACCATGACGCTGCTTCAGGCGTGATAATTTTACGGGTTCTTAACTAGTTATGCAGAAAAACATTCTTTGAGGAAATACTATAATTTTATGCAAACATGAGGTGAAAATTGAAAATCCTATCTCCTTTTCTAGATGACACTTTCAAGGTCTTGTGAGGTCTTCAGAGTTTATAATCTGTTTTACCGTGTTTCACGCACTTATGGTGGACCTTTCACTCTGTTAGCTTAGTTACCCAAATTCAAATAGAAAATAAAGTACCAAATCAGCTTAGTTACGGGAAGAATGTATTAAAGTTTGGTTACTTGGGTTTATAAAGATCTAAAAATCCACAATAAACGTAATAGACTCCAGGTGCTGCGGGAAGACTGCTCCAGTACTAATTCTCCAATGTTGACGTTGCCGGAGGTCGACCAAAGTACGTAGGAAGAAACCACGGTGTTCCTGCAAAAATTTGAGATAGAAAGCAGGTGATTAAAATTGATCGACGGCAGTTGAGATGGTGGAGAAGACGGAGAGTCGAAGGCAGAACTATATATTTATTCAAAACCCGAGGTAAAGTTCAAAGTACAGAGTTTATGGTTAGAACAAAGTGATGTACAATATGTTCATTTTTTACACAGTAGTAAAATTTGGATAAGTTTATTTTTGAGGACTCCACACACTGGCTTTCAATGGATGCAGGTGTACTACCATGCCCATCTGGTACTGCCTGTACCATTTCAGTGCTAGACTGTGGCAGTACAGGCGTAGTATCAGAACAGGTGCGAGCTACACGTGTCTTTAGAATTGGTATGTGAGATGGGGTTGATATCCCTGGGTTATTGCCTCCTCTGGATGAAGCCCTTGTGACGGCAGAATATGGTGTTTTAGTGCTTTTTCTAATACTATTTTCAACAGCAGTATTAAAAATCACTATAACTTATGCTATATACGAATAAGAGATCAACAGTATCCACCCACGAGAACAAGAATTAGGCTGATAAAGTGCAAGATAAGGACAATAAAAGGTTTTCAATTTTACCTAGTACTGTTTGGTTAATCGGCTTCACAGCAGTCACGTGGTAGACCGACAAGTTTTGTTATCTGAACGAGTGAGGAAGATGCTGTCACTGAAGTGACAACTATAGCTTTGGCAGTAGTTCGAGACAGCTGTACTTACCACACAGAGATTTAATATGTAAGTAGTGGTTGAATTTAATTCACTGGTTAGGAAGATCAGGTTTCCCAATCGAATAATCCACATTTAGGTCGTTTCCGTTTGGAGAGGAAAGAGCACGTCGTATTCGAGGAACGCGCTACTCAAACCACGTGGGTCTCACCGTTGAGAGGAATTCGGTCAACGGTAGGGGGAAATACGGGTGCTGTTTGGCCTTAAAATAAACCTAACATGATGACTCTGAACTACAGCAGCCCAAAACTACCTCTAGCAGCCAATCAGATACGCCAGAAGTAGAAGTGCATAATTTGAAATAAACGCCTATTTACAAATAATGCTATGTTTAAAAAAATGGGTACCTAGGATAATATCTTTCTTTATGTTCGAAGAAAATCTCCCAATTTTTTACAGGAGTCCTCAGAGTCAGATTAAACCTATTTCTGTACATAAATTCGTTAATGTCATCAATCTGTCCATTTGGCAGTTTTGTCTTGGGCTGCTATAGTTAAGTGTCACCACCGTTGTGACATTTCGCGAATTTTATCAGCAGAAGTAGCTGAAAACTCTAGAATAACACACTGGAATGTCACATGTACAGCCTGTACTGACTGTGAGTTTAGATAAAAACATCTGTGGAGTCCTCAAAAATAAACTTATCCAAATTTTACTACTGTGTAAAAAATGAACATATTGTACATCACTTTGTTCTAACCATAAACTCTGTACTTTGAACTTTACCTCGGGTTTTGAATAAATATATAGTTCTGCCTTCGACTCTCCGTCTTCTCCACCATCTCAACTGCCGTCGATCAATTTTAATCACCTGCTTTCTATCTCAAATTTTTGCAGGAACACCGTGGTTTCTTCCTACGTACTTTGGTCGACCTCCGGCAACGTCAACATTGGAGAATTAGTACTGGAGCAGTCTTCCCGCAGCACCTGGAGTCTATTACGTTTATTGTGGATTTTTAGATCTTTGTAAACCCAAGTAACCAAACTTTAATACATTCTTCCCGTAACTAAGCTGATTTGGTACTTTATTTTCTATTTGAATTTGGGTAACTAAGCTAACAGAGTGGAAGGTCCACCACAATAATTGGTGAGCCCGTTTCGAAACTTTTTTTCGCTGGTTAACCCTTTTTCGAACCTTTTTGTGTCGATATTTAACTCGTTTTCAACAGTTCTGTTGCTATTTTGGCCTTATAAACTCGCATTGCTTTAATTTTTGTTGCCACACCTTTTGCTATTTTGTATATCTCTTTACTAAAATTTTTTTTGACAATGGCTCAATATAAACGTATCACTGTTCCCGATGAACTTCATAAAGGCGAAGTGACACAGAACTCTTCTGTTACCGCCTTCCCGGATTCCACATCTATGAAGGACGCACCACTGTTTTGGTTACTTTCCCAGTTAACATCTCAAATGCAAGACTTACGACTGGAGGTGTCCGAGCTTCGAGCACAACGGAACCAGTTACATACGGTATCTAAGCGATGGCGATCAAGATCTAGACGACGTTCTAGAACACCGTCTCAAAGCCGTAACATTTGTTGGTATCATAGGATGTATGGGCATAATGCCCTGAAGTGTGTCCGACCGTGCATGTACAACAGTTGTCAGTCACGCCTCATAAACCGTTAATGCCCAGCTCTCGCTACGCTCGGGCCCACGCTGTTCTTCGAAGATTTCAGAAACGCTTAGTTATAACGGACGAAAAATCCAAAACACCGATCTGCCGTTTGATATTTCTTTATTGTTACACCAACATATAAAAAGAATAAGCGAACTAAGGTTTCTGACGATGTTTCACTCTTCTTTCTGAACAGCGACCGATGAGACGATGACTGTCGTATTGATGCCTCCGCGAAAATTAGGGAAGTTGGGTTTGAGCAAACAACCAAGAATTGATCGTTCAATCTTCAACTCCATTGACACTCCCCGGCAAAATGGGGATCCAACCCTTTTTTCCATCACGACCAATGCACGTTGACTTGGATGCCATTGCGAGAACCTGGGTCAAACGGACAGAGCTGAAATGGAAAACAAACAGAAAAGCCAACACACCACAAGCATACTCACAGCACAATCTCACACATCGCTGACGACCTGCGCCTCCAGACAGAGACGTCCTCTTGACATCTTGCAACACAATCGCCACTTACTAGAATGACTCTTGCAGAATGCAAAGTGACCATGGCAGCACCTCACGACACTCTACGCACATCCTCTTATCTACTCATTACCAATTACCACTGCAATCGCTTGTCACTCATTCTGCCTCAGTTCTAGTAGCGGTGACGCATGCTAGCCTCAGTCGTTTACACTCTTTCTCCCCGGCGTGTCGGACCGCAGCTAACAATTATCTCCGTGTGCATTTCATTCTCAGCAATAGCCTAGCCTCCCCGGCGTATACGACCCATCTGCTGTCCTTAACATCAATCAATTCATTCATGGATGTAGAAGACTCGAAACAACTTCAGAAATAATCACGACGAAAATTTTAACAAAATTACGCAATGAAAACAAGGTACGAAAACAACAAGTAAACACAATGAATCCAAAATGACATATTGAGAAGACACACCACTCGTATACACAAACAGTACAAATAACCTCGCGGATCGTGTCTTGGTGGAATTCCTTCGAGGAATTGCAGGACTTACACCAGTAAACCTGCAACCCTTCTCAGGTTGACGATTGTAAGTTGTGGAATGTCCGGACACAAAAAAGATTAATCAACGATTACAATAATCGGAACTCACACAATTATTTAACACAAACATATGTACAATCAACACATGAAATGTTGTGTATTCTGGCACGGCAAACTACCCTTGAAGAACTGTAGGACATACAGCAGTACGCCTACATTCCTTCTCAGGTTGATGATCCAAGTGGAAGTCGTCCGGACACAAACAGAATTACCAACAGCTAGATGACAGATGATATCAATTCAGTATATGCAATATGAACATATGTACAATATCACACACCGAGCACATTGGGCTGCTCATTGATGCGCTACCCTTTGAAGAATTGTAGGACTTACAGCAGTACGCCTACAACCCTTCTCAGGTTGACGCCCTAGGTTGGAAAATCGTCGCAGAGTTCATTTGCTAACTTCCTTCTATGAGCTATATCCTCAAATCTGAACGGCAACACACCCATGTCATTGTATCGTAGAATATAGATGACCAACAAACACACGACATATCTGATCAACCAAGTGTAGAAACAGAGTAATTTACACCAAAGATAATAACATTCAAATAGTAACTTGAAACTAGAAGTGCCTTTATTCGTGCAAGTCAATTTAACAATTACTCTTTCGTTTACACTTGGCTTATCCTCACTAAACTGAGCAATATCTTTCGTCTTTTCAAACGCACCAATACTATCATAGTCATTGCAGAAGATACTTGAGTTGATGGGCATCTGTTTCATTGTGGATGAAAACACCAACGATGACTGAGTGACACAAGGTGATGAACTTAGCGGTGGATCAGAAGCTGTTCTTGTTCGGCTTTCAGATAGTTGTCCAACTGCAAGATTACCACCACTGCTCTCTTTCACCACTAGTTCGGGTTGAGCACTAGCATCTGATGATAGGTGGGCTACATGCTGATCACTCACACTGACAGTTTCACAAGTATGCATGCCTTCTGCAACTGCATCTGCGTTCAATTCTACTTCACGTTGTAGTTGTACAGAACCTTTATTTAACTTAGCAGTAGTACGCATATCCCTCATCTCATCATGATCAACCAAAGACAACTGTGAAGTATCATGATCATTATCACGA